GTGGTGGTGGTTAATGGGGAAGGGTGGTGAGTGGTGGCAGTGGTTAATGTGGCACGGGGAGTGGGGAGCAGGCCTAGGCATCTTTGCATCTATGGTGAACACAAACTGTCAAGTCTCTGGATGGACCCAGCTGAGCTTTATGCCCTCCCAAGAACTGTTACTTCCTCACTGGACTCTGAGCACCATCAAGATGCTTGGTCACAGGAAACAGAATGCATAACTCAAACCAACCCAAGACAGAAACATATTGGCTTATGGCATGGAAATTACAAGGCAGCTGACTTCAGGCATGGCTGGATCCAGGGGTCATATATTCGTTGGGTTTCTCACTTGCTCATGCTCTTTCTCTGTCCACCGTGGGGTCTTTCCCAGACAGGCTGTCCCTGCAGCTTCAGGCCTACTTTCTACACGCTTATTCGAGAGGAAGCACCATTCTCCCTGTAGTTGCCACAGAAGGTCCTAGATCGAGTCCACCGGACTTGCATGGGTTGCGTGCCCGCCCCATCATCCAGACTTAGGGGGCGGTATTTCAGGGTGCTGTTAACAGAAGAAGGGGAAACAAACTCTGAGCAGAAAGAACCCAGAGATGTCCACTGCCATTTGTCTACAGTTGTTTCCTTAGTAACTGGCAACTCTTACTCACCCCTATAATTTGAAGGCATCAAATTCTTAGAAATGCCCGAAACAGCCTCAGTCTAAAAGACAGGTTCCCATCCTGCAGAGATTCCTTTTTAAATAGTACCTAGATAGAAAATTGAACAGGATATTTTCTGCTTCTAATCTCTAAGTTTTTCTGATGGCCAAAAATACACACTGGCTATAAAAAGTTCCGTCATTATAGAAATATGTGACAAAGAACATGAAATCCCCTGGAGATGACACCCCCTGGGAAAACTTGTGTGAACGAAAAGTTTGTGAATTTTTCTCCAGAGCCTTTTGACTTTTTGCCTCTTAGCAATAAAATTCTCCCACTTTGGCCCTATTTGCTTATCCTGGGAGAGGGGAGGGGTTTGAACTTTGACCAGAGGGCCCTCCTGTCCTCCCACCAATCTGGGTTTTTGTCCCTGCCCTCCATGTGCCTGTACCTCTGCTTAGCCTTCTGGAAGGTTTTATTTGGGGGCTTGGAGGCCCGATGGGGTCATTGATTGGCTCATTCATGCATTCAACAAATATGGATTGATCTGGGCGCCCACTCCAGGGCGAGTTGCTGGTGGTACTTTGGAGGACAGGATAGATAGAGCCGTGCCCCAGCAAGCACTCACGGTCTGGTGGGGGCCTTGCCTTTTCTTCTGATTTCCCAGGTACCTCTTGCTGCTCCTTAGTTCTCGTTGCCTCAGTTTACCCTACCTGCAAAGTGAGCATAATAGTATCTTCCCTGTCTGAAGGAAGGGGATGGCTCCTCCATGCCCGGAGGCCTCTTCCAGTTTCAGATCTGTCATATCCAAGGGTCTCCTCCTACAGGAAGTTCCCCTCAAATCCAGCCAGCTTCTTCCAGCTGTCTACCTGTGAGGGACTAGGCACGGGCAGGGCCCTTGCTTGGTAGCCTCACTGCCTGGGTTCACCTGTTGATAGAATAACTGACTGTCCCAGTTTGCCTGTGGCTGTCCTGGTTTTAGCACCAAAAGTCCAGCGTCCAGATAACCCTTTAGTTCCAGGTCACCCAGGACAATTCATTGCCTCTTGGTTTCACCTCTTAATGTGTGTGCTTGCTCAAATCCCTTAACCTCTCTGGGCTCTGGTCTCCTCATCTCTGGGGATAAGAGCTGTCCCTACCTCCTAGGGTCGCTGGGAGATTAAATGAGATAATACATGTTAAGTTCTTAGAACAGCCTGGCACGGAGTTCACGCTCTGATTGTTGACTGCTGTTATTCCCCTCTCCTGCCCAGGCTGGGGGCCTTAAGGAACATGCTCCCGTGGGTAACACGTGGTTGCAGCCCAGGAATGGGAGTCCTACAGCCCTGGGTCCTGCTGCTGAAACTGCCACTTTCTGTGTATGACCTTGAGCAAGTTCTCTCCCTGAGCCTCGGTGTTCCTCATCTGTAAAATAGGGATGATAACAGACCCACCTTCCCAGATGGCCCCGAGCCCCGTGTTTGGCTAAATATTCGATCAGCGTTATTACTGATCAGTAATCTGAGTCCAGCGTGATTCAGAACATAGAACTTCTGTCTGTGTGACCTCGATAACTCACGCAGAGAAACAGCGTTTGAATCTCTCAGTGCAGTTTGTTTTGTATAATTTTTACACCGTGTGGATGTAAGTGGCTGTCTTGAGGTCCCTGAGTATGCTAAGCACAGAGGCCTCGGACCCCCAGACTGGACAGGGCCTCAGTCTGTACCTGGGACCCCGCCCCAGCGATGCCGCCTTCATCTGGCCTCCTTTCCCCCAGCCTCAGCCATCTGCCGCTGGGCGGCTCCACCCTGGCCGTGCTCACTCAAGGACTAAGCCACATGACCCTCCTGCAGAGCCTCCGGTGAGTGACTGAGTGACCCGTGGGAATGAGTGGGCAGACACGCCTGGCTCTGTGGGAACCACCACCCAGGGAGCACCGGGGGGCACCTCCCTGGGACCTCCACGGCCCCCTCCCCCGCACATGCCCATGCCTTCCCAGGTCGATGCCCCCTGCTCTTGCCTTCCTTCTAATGCCACCAGCTTCCTCCTGGTTACAAAAGTGACCTGAAAGTCTTAGGCCCAAATCCTAGAACAACTCTCCATGTGTACACAACTCACCTTGGGCTCTTGTTAAAATGCTAATTCTGATCCCACAGGTCTGGAACTCTGCCTAGAGTTTGCTTTTTTTATTTTTATTTTTATTTTTATTTTGAGACGAGATCTCACTGTGTCGCCCAGGCTGGAGAGCAGTGGCTATTCACAGGCATGATCATAGCACACTGTAGCCTCAAACTCCTGGCCCCAAGCGATCCTCCGGCCTCAGCCTCCCAAGTAGCTGGGACTATAGGCATGCGCCACCACGCCCGGATTCTGCATTTCTAACAAGCTCCCACATGATACCAGTTCAGGGGGCCACAGACCACACTTTCAGTAGTGACGGTCTAGACTCAGATCTAGTGGCTTTCGTATAATCCCTCTGTGATTTCACTCTCTGCCCACTTGGATAAACAAATGTCACACTTGCTTTTAGTGTGATTCTCAAAATATGAAATATTGTGACTAAGCACAAACCCCAGCAGTGACACAAAGCGTGCTTTATTTTTATCCAAGTCCCCACCACCGCACACCCCTCCCCGCCTCTGGCAGGGTAGAGTGGGGAGGAAATGAGGTTAGAGAGTTTGGGAGGGCATATCATGTAGCACCATTGCACCCAAAATGAATTTACGGAAAGGCAGTTCACTAAAATTTAATTTTCAAAACAAAAGAAAGCAAAACAACCCTCAGATAAATTCTTAGCGAGGGGCTAAGACGGACCTGTTTGCCCCTGTAGTTTTGTTTTGTTTTGTTTTGTTTTCCCCACTTGCTGAGGCTGGGCAAGGTTAGGGCGCAGAAAAGACAACAGCCTGGGTTGAGGAGAAGCCCACCATTTGCACAAATGACAACACCATATGCCCGGAGAACTGATTTGCCCGAGGCGTGGAACCCGAGTGAACTTGGCATTCAGCAGCGCTGGCCTGCAGACCCCTGGTGCGGAGGCTGAGGCAAGACCTGGCAAAGCCAAAAACTGTAGCAACTGCTCCCAGGCCAGGGGCTCTGGGTGTCACCTCCGCCCAGCCTGCAAGTCACTGTCATGCACAGCTCACTCCTGAGCCTCAGTTTTCCCACCTGGACACTGGGGACAGTCTTCCCACCCTGCTCACCACTGCCCCAGCCCCAGAAGTTTTGTGACTGGCACAGGATGAGTTCCTGGGTGTGTAAAGGCTTTGCAAACTGTAGAGTTCTTAGCACAGCTCCTGCAAAGACCTTTGAGGTCCTAAGGCCTCTTGGTCTGTTCCCTGCTTTTCCAGACTGAGCAGGAACAGCATCAGTGATCTCGGTTGCTGCCACCTTTCTGAGGCTCTCAGAACTGCCACCAGCTTAGAGGAGCTGGGGTGAGTTGCCTGTCCTTCCCCCAGACCCAAGACAACTTTGGCAGGGAAGGATGGCCAACGCAAGAGGCCACTTGAGCACACTCTTGACTTCTTAGTCTCTTCCTCTTCATCCACTTCCCCCTTGTGTAACCAACCCCAGGCCTAGGACCTTGGGAGACCCGAAGATAGGATATAGGAGTGTCCACTGCAGCAAGGGGGATTTGGGTCAGACAACAGGGAGAACATCTAAACAAAAGCCAAGAGTTGGGAGCCCTCACCCAACATGGGGTGATGGGGCTCTTGCAGTGTGAGCTGAAGCCCTTCTTGGGACGTCAGCCTCCTCTTCTGTTCTGGGCGGGGAGTGTGGACAAGAGGAGGTGGCGGAAGGCTGAGGAAGCTGTTCTCTCCCCAAGATTGAGCCACAACCAGATTGGAGACGCTGGTGCCCAGCACTTAGCCGCCATCCTGCCGGGGCTGCCCGAGCTCAGGAAGATAGAGTGAGTGGCCAGCCCTACTGAGAGGGGCCCGCAAGGGTCACACCGTGGTCCTGGGAGACACCGGCCCCTAGCTCAGGCCAGCATTGTAAAATGTCCCCTACCCCAACCTCAGGGTCCAGGCGGTGGGGCTGGGTGACCTCCTGGCTGTGACCGTGGGACCTAAAGCCACCCAGCCCCTGCTCTTCTCTGGGCCTTTCCGTCCCACCCAGCTGGGAAGGAACGTGGAGGGGGGTTGTCTCTGAAGCCCCCTGCAGCAGGCGTGGCAGTCCCCAAGGTGCACCGGGCTGGGGCAGAGGGGATCTGATGGCTGTCTCCGTCCTGCAGCCTCTCAGCGAATGACATCGGCCCCGCTGGGGGAGTGCAGTTGGCAGAGTCGCTCACTCTTTGCAGGCACCTGGAGGAGCTGATGTAAGTGTCTGCCCAGGTGCCTCTGCCCTCTGTGTCCCCGCAGGCCCACCTGGCCCCCCTCCTCCTCCAGTGGGCACAGGGCAGCGCGGGGTCCTGGCGGCCGGCCCGGTGCTCAGTGCTCATTCCTCTCCTCTTCCAGGCTGGGCCACAACGCCCTGGGAGATCCCACGGCCCTGGGGCTGGCTCAGGAGCTGCCCCAGCACCTGCGGGTCCTGCAGTGAGTGGCCCCTACCCACAGTGCATGCAAGGCCGGCGGGCGGGGGCAGGGGGCCCCCTGGGAGCAGCGGGCTCAAGGCTGAGCTGCCCTGCCTGAGGGTAGCTGCGGCAGGTCCTGGGGCTGGCTGCCCCTCTCCCGCCTGCTCCCCCCAGCCTCTGACGTCCAGAGCAGGGAAAGCAGGGGGCCCAGGCTAGTCCTGGCCCTGCCACCACCCCGCTGCGTGCCCTTGGCCAAACTCCTGCCCCTTCGGAGCCTCAGTTTCCTCGTCTGCAAAAGAAATATGATGATCCCAGCTCGGCCTGCCCTGTGAGCCGGTCTCTGAGGGCGAATGAGAAATGTCAGCAAAGGGCTCCGTGGGAGAAAGCACGAAGCAGCACAGCCTCGGCACTTTACAGTTTAAGTCCGTGGCCTCATTTGACCCTTGTGGCAGCCCCGTGGGGCCAGGAGTTTTACGTGCTCCCTTTTCTGGGCAAGGGAAGGTGGCCAGGGCAGGTGTGGAGGGCTCACCTTACCAACGCACGAAGGAGCCAGGCGCTGAATTTGGGGTCTCAGACCCCAAAGCTCGGCCTATGCTACCTGCGCAGGCGCCGTGTGCACGGGGAAGGGGCTCAGGGCGGCAGTCACACAGAGGCCATCCAAGATCTGGAGCTGCAGCCTGAGACAAGGCTGGGGGTGGCTCAGGAAAGGACCCCAGCCCCCCAGGCTCCCCTCACCCCTTCCCTGTTCCCCAGCCTGCCGTCCAGCCATCTGGGCCCGGAGGGGGCGCTGAGCCTGGGCCAGGCCCTGGATGGATGCCCACACGTGGAAGAGATCAGGTACGTAGGGGCTGCCCGGCCTGGGCAGGGGGACAGGCCAGGGAGGGTCCGAGGGTTCCTCTCACAGCTGTCTCCCCGTCCTGCAGCTTGGCAGAGAACAGCCTGGCCGAAGGGGTCCCACATTTCCGTAAGGGGCTCCCGCTGCTCAGACAGATGGAGTAAGTCACCTCCTCCGGCTGGGTGGGGACCGGCGGCAGCGAGAAGGGGAGCAGCCCTTCTCTGGCTGAGCCTGACACCCAGGGAGCCCCTGGAAGAAGCCTCAGGGCTGGTGTAGGGGCGGGGTCGAGAAAGGAGCGCTACTCCCAGCCTGCCCCGGGGCCTGGCGGCTCTGCTCCCTCCTGCTCTGACTGGGGGAGGACGGGACCTGCCAGAGGTGCCCCCCACTCAGACACCCCCATCCCATCCCCTTCTCCATCTGCAGCCTGGTTTCCTGTAAGATTGACAACCAGACTGCCAAGCTCCTTGCTGCCAGCTTCCTGCTCTGCCCGGCCCTGGAAGTAATCTTGTGAGTGACTGGAACAGCCCTGAGCTGGGAGAAGCAGGTGTCCGGTGGGGCGGGGGGTGGGGGGATGGGGTGGCCCCAGCCTGCCGTGTGGCCTGGAGCCGCTCCCTTCCTCTCTGGCCGGTCCTCCCTCCCGTCTATAAATGGGGAAGATGGTTCTTGCTCAAACCTCCTCTGATGACGTTTGAACACTGAAGCTGCCATTTCACTTCTCCTGCCTCTGTCCCCATCTGCGGAGTGCTGGGAGGGGAGGTGGGACCGATGGTCTCTAAAGGTCCTTTGCCCCAGACCGTCCCTTTGGGAGGCAGCTGGACAGAGGTGCCAGACCTAAGGTGCCTGGCTTCACCTTATGAAGCCTCCAGCCGTGAACCGCTGTTGGTGTGAAGAGGGGCTCAAGCCCGCAGACACCCCCGCCCTGGATTGCCTGCTGGCTGTGCCTGGCCCCCTCTTAGCAACCAGCATCCCCCAGACGTGGGGACCCTCAGAGCCACCGCCTGGGCAAACCAGACTCCAGGACTAGCCTGGGACCCGAACCACAGTATAGAATAAACGCTACTTCCTAAAGTACAGGACACAAATGATTACGGGATGATTTTAGTCCATCCTAAAGGTTCTAACCTTTCTCCTTATACCAAAGAGAAAGTCTCAGGTCGGTGCTAACCCATCACCGACACCTGACGCTGGTGATCCTCCCCTTTTTAACCAACAGGGGCAGGCCACCGACCCAGCACCTTAGGAAGGACGTAGGTTCCAGATAGAAGTTAATACTGTCGTTTGCACTGTATTTATCCTTGTCACTACCCTCTATTGTGGGTCCCTAGCACAGGTTTTCCATTAGTAATAGTTATAAATGTTTCCTTTTGAGATTAATTTCTTACAGTAAGAAAAAGGCGGGGGAGGGCCAATTAAAAACTATGACACCCAGTCATTTGGGAGGTGCGTGGATATGGCACAGGCATGATGGAGGCACGTGTGCGGTGGGAGTTTGGACCATGACGGGTATCTGTGAACCACGTGCTCTGACCGCCAGCCCAAGCCTGGAACCCTCGGACGGCCAGCGCCTAAGCTGTTCTGGGTTCTTGAGCTCAGGAATGGGGTGGGGGTCGGGGAGTGGGGAGGAAGGATCCATTTGGGCCCTGAAGTCTTCCGGGGAGGGTACACAGCACCCCGTCAGGTGGCCTCTCTTGCAATCCCCCCACCATTGCCCCCAGCCCTACCCACCCACTGCCCTGTCTCCACCCCTCGCCCTCCCTGCTGTCTTGCCGCTGACCTTGGCACCCCTACCCTGCAGGCTGTCCTGGAACCTCCTCGGGGACGAGGCAGCTGCCGAGCTGGCCCGGGTTCTGCCGCAGATGAGCCGGCTGAAGAGAGTGGAGTATGAGGAGCACATCCTGGGGGGCGGGGAGGCTGAAGGGGGACCAGCATCCTGGGGAAAGCAAGGAGTCCATGGGGTCCGCCCCCTGCCTCCCAGAAAGCCCCTCCTTGAGCTGCACACTCTGGGTTCTAGCTTCAGCCTCGCGCTGCACCCGCCGCAAGCCCCCTGTGTCTGGGGGTCCCTGAGAAGGCGGTGTGGGGAGACCTCCCACCCAGTCTCATGCCTGTCTTTCTCTTTCCCTTCCCCTGCTGCCCACCGGAAAGCCTGGAGAAGAATCAGATCACAGTGCGTGGAGCCCAGCTCCTGGCTGAGGGGCTGGCCCAGGGGTCTGGCATCCAAGTCATCCGGTAACAGAGGCTTGCGGGGGCTGGGATGGTAGGTGGGAGGCCACGCCAGCTCCCAAATCTAAGGGGACTCCCTGTAGGAGGAGGCAGGGCCTGGGTTGGGGATTATCAAAGGAGACTTGGACCACTCCACCAAGAATTTGATAGCAAGCAGACCTGGATCAAATCCCAGCTCTGCTATTTGCCAATTGCGTAACTTTGTATTGGTAACTAAACCTCTCTGAACTTCAATTTTCTCAGCTATAAAATAGAATATTGATAGTATCTACCTCAGAGAGTTGTTATGAGGACTAAATGAGCATATAAAGCACTGAACCCAATGCCTGGTACATAGTAAGCACCTAAAATGGTAGCTATAATGAGAGCGACCACATACAGTTGTTTAGGTTGTGCACTGCACAAGGGCATTGCCACCAAAGGACACCATTCACATCATACACACATTAGATTTCTAGTGGATGGTAGTAAACTATGTTGTTCTACCAAAACCAGTACATTATGACAATTTCGGACAGATGGAAGTAAAGTACCTTGAAGCAGGGGAGCCTTTTCCTTATTTACACAAATTTGTCATACAAGCATGGCCCTGGCTGGGGTCATTAGCTCTCAGGGGAGCAGACTGTACCGGAGAAGTCAGGAGGTGGGTGTAGGGGACACCGTCTCCCTAGGGCAGCCGTGCAGGCCTAATACCTGCCTCTGCTGGCTAAGTCTGGGCACAACTCTTCCCTTTCGGGCCTTGGTCTCCTAGTGTGGAGACAGGACAAGGGGCGGGGACAAGAGGATGAATGAGCAGCTCCCAGCACTCAGCGCCTGTCTCTGTGCCCCTCAGCCTCTGGAATAACCCCATTCCTGCCGACATGGCCCAGTGTCTGCAGAGCCAGGAGCCCAGGCTGGACTTCGCCTTCTTTGACAAGGCCCCTCAGAATACTTGACGGCCCCCTCAAGACATTCAGAATCCAGCCGAGTGACGCCAACTTCACCCACAGGGACAGAGGGATCAGGAGAGCCTCAGCAGCGTGCCCAGGAGGGAGGGGCACGTTGGTCCTGCTACAGTCCTCAGGGAGGACTTTTTTGGGGACCTAGAGCCTGGTCCAGCCAAGGGAGCACTCCGCATCACATGTGACATGGGTGACCAGTTGGGGACGTGGCACCATGAGAGTGTCATGACATAATACGTGACACGTAAGGTTATACGTGGCAGTATGACCTTTTGACACATGGCATTACGTGAAACGTGCAGCGTGGCACGTGGTCAATAGCTGGGTCTCAGCGCCACAGGTGGCAGGATGCATGACTGGTGAACCATATATGACACATGACAAATGTCCATGTCACATGACATGTGGCTGGCTGGCTGACCTCAGGCTGGCTCAAGATCTAATTTATTACTTTTTAAACCAATATGTATTTATAGATTGCACTTCCGGCTTGGCTGAGCCGGGGAAAGTCTTCTGCTCTGAGCTGGGAGGGAAGAGTATCCAAGCACTGACCAGCCAGTGGCCCAAGGGCCGGGGCTCAGGAACAAGCAGGGATTCAGCCACAAGGTCCCCTCCTGCTTCAAGCCTCCGTTTCCCATCTGTAACCTGGATTATCTGTCTCCCCCTTAAATAATGGCTTCCAAGGACTTTGGGCCCAGGTCTGGGCAGATCCAGCCTGACCTTGGGAGTGACGGGCCCAGTTTATCCTGCACAAGGGACAAAGCCAGGTCTAACGGTGGGAGTGTGCACTGCCAAGACGTTTAGTCAAATCCACTGGATGCAGCTACTACCTCAGCAGGATGCACGTGCGCCCCAGGAGCTACACAGTGTTCTCGTTACTTCCAAGGAGGACAAGGGTGGCTCTGCTACACTCTAAGCCTCCAGTCCCCAGCCCCCAGGCCCTGGCCCAGTACCAGTCCGTGGCCTGTTAGGAAACGGGCCATGCATCCCCGCCTGAGCTCTGCACCACACCCCCCACCCCATCCCCAGTCTGTGGAAAAGTTGTCTTCCATGAAACCAGTCCCTGGTGCCAAAAAGTTTGGGGACCGTTGCCTAAGCCAAGTTTGATCAGTAAATGTGGTTGGTCTTCCACTCGTAGCCTGAGTCTGATGTTTCCTGCTACCCCACCGAGGTCGAGAGAGGTTCACCCCCTGCCCTGGGGACTGGAGAACAGGGCAGACAACAGAGAGGTATGCTGAGAGGAGCACTGGCCGGGGAGTCAGGAGACGGGTTCAAGTTCAGGGTGATAGTCACGTGATCCTGGGCAAGTTACCTTCTCTCTCCAGACCTCACCTGCTACGTAAGGGTGTTAGAGAAGCTCAGACAGACAGTATTATAGAAGCTCAGGACATTAAAAAACAGTTGATACTTGACTTGCATAATATTTAAACTTTTTTCTAAACTAATTGTCAATATTTCAAATTGGGAAGTTTTACATAAAAATCCAGACCCTGGTGTCTTTGAAGTGCTAGCCCAGCATTCCCACTCAACAGCAATAATCTGCTGGAGCCATGTGACTGTGCCCTTTAGATGGGGCACATGTCCCCCAGTTTGCTGCAGTCCCCACCACTCCCCATCTTAACACCCCCACCCCACTTTCTGTGGCTTGCCGGGTCCTTGCAGAAGCCTGCAGACCTCTGGCCTAGAGGGTTTAACATGGCTTTGCAAGTCAGACAGGCACGGAATAGAGTGTGACTGAACCCCTTGCGAGCTGCCTTTGGGGGCAGTAACTGTGCGTGGGTTAGTAACACCCCCCGACATGCCCCCCAGGACTGTTGAAGAGGTCAGGGAAGCAAGGTGTGCAAAGACCCTGGCACAAAGATGTAAAGACTGGTCGCATGCTAGTCCCCTCCCCTTTTTAGGGTTGACTATCATAGGACAGGGAGAGATGCCTGCAATGACAGATGAGCACCCTCTCCTGCATGTGGGTAGAGCAAGTTCATCTTCCGGGGAGCCTCCCGCTCCATTGTGAGAAAACGGGGCCCGGAGGGTGCAGTGACGTCTGAGCACCACTGGAGGGCAGGCTGGCCCACTGGCAATTCCTGAGATAACTTGTGCAGCGTTGGACCCAGAAGGAAGTTAGGAGGTGATGCTAGCGGCTGTTCCCGCCTGGCCTAGGAGCCTGGGATATCCCGGCCTACTGGTGGCTCACCCAGATGACTTGGCCCCGACTTTTGCCGCCCTCCACGTTGTTCCCGGCCCCCCTCCAAGCACGAGGAGAAAGTCCTCCGGCGGAGTGCTAGGCACCCACACCTCATGCAGGGACACCCTTATCGGGCCAGGGTCAGGGCACACCTGGCATCTCATGGGGCCATCAGCCTGGTCATGGGGGAGGAAGCAGGCAGGTAGAGAAACCAGGAAGTTTACCCGGAAACCCTGGGCCCCGAATTCTGTCTCCCTTTCCTGGGACATGACACCAAGTTGACTTTGGGCCTTCACAGCGAAGGGGTGGAAGGTGCCTCCTCTCCTTGCCCGAGGCTGCAGGATGAGCCCCTCAAAGCCTGGAAATGCCGTGACAAGGGAGTCGAGATGAGGAAGGGACAGAGAGCACCAACCAGAAACGCCCGGCCAGGTGAAATGTACCCAACGTGGGGGGACCCAGAGTTCTGGGACCCTATTTTCATTTTCTGCGCACACATTTTGCTTTTCTCTTTTTTTTCCTCATTGATCTCTGCCCAAATTCTGCACTCCAAGAAACTTTCAACAGCTTCCCTGAAATAAGCCACAGTATTGTCAGCAGGCAGAGCTGGCTGGGCCCGTATCAAGTTGGTGTGAAGTCGCGTTGTTCATTTTATTAAGAAACTTGCTCACTCTCCTGCCACCTGCCTGCTTGGAGGCCTTGACTGTTTTTCTCTCCAACACTGATGTGATCCAGTCTCCCTGCCCCCTTCCTCCCAAAAGTAGGCTCAGTTTAAACACATACATGAAACCAAAATTCGAAGAAAAGTTTAAGGCTATGTATGGTCCAGCAAGCAGTGCGACCAAAACGACACGTCCGGTTTCCGCACGTGACCAGGCTGGTAAGTACCCACAGCCACCTGCAAGGCTGGGTGGGATAAGCTCATGTTGCTACGTTGTCACTTGGCGTCCATCCTATGACTTTACAGATTGAAGGTCCATCTTTCTGACGGTTGTCACAGAATCTTCCTTGCCATCTGCACACACCTGAAGTCCTCCCAGATTGCCTCCTCTGTCCTTGCCCCAAACACACAGCTGTCCGCAATCCACTGTCCAGCCAGTGCTTCCCAAGCTGTAAAACTGCAGTTATAGAAACTGTAACGTGCACCGAGTCACCTGGGGATCGTGTCACTATGCAGATTCTGGTCCTGCAGGTCCGGGGCAGGGCATGGGATTCGCATTTCTAAGGAGCTCCCCCTCCAAGTGATGGCCGTGCTGCTGGACCCCACTTAGCTTAGTGGGCCTGTAGACTGAGTGGATTGCAACCCTGATCGCGCATTAGAATCACCTGGGGAGGTTTTTAATACACCTGTCTTTAAAAAGGAGTCTTTAGAAAGCTCCCCGAGCGGCTCTGACGTGCAGCACAGTGGAGACCCACTGGTCTGGAGTGTTCTGTCTCTTGGAGAGGCTGGCAAGCCTCTGCGCCTAGTCCCCTGACTTTGTCCTGAGGATCCTTGTGACCCTCCTTGCCCAGATGAGGACACTGACCCCAGAGATTTTTCCTAACTTTCCCAAAGACACAGGGCTGGTAATTGGTAGCACCAGGAATTGAACCTGGGTCTTTGTGATTCTCCGTGCTCACCCACAGGTGATGCCCCAATTTCCTCACCTGTATAGTAAGGGGTGAGCAAAATGAGACAAGGCACAAGGACCTACTTTCTTTGGCTGCAAAGATGACCTTATGACTCATTCCTATATCCTCCTGGGGAGAGTTCTGGATCCTCTTATGTCCCCCGCCCTGCCTGGTTATTTCTGTAGAGCATCACAGTGATCTTCTATAGCCCCAGAACAACAACCACAGGAACAATCTCGTCCATTTCGCAAATGAGAAAACTGAGGTGCAAAGAGGGATGACCATTTGCCCAAGGCCACGCAGCAAGTATTTAGTGGGGATCGGATTCCAAGCCTGGCGCAGAAAGGAAAGGGAGACCATGAGGCGTCCTGGGCTGGGGATTTAACAGCCTGCAGGTGTGGGTGTTCCTCAGCCAGAGAGAGGCCCTCGGGAAGGTGGGCGGGCCACGCACTGGGCTTCTGCTCTCAACTCCACCCTGCATGGCCAAGGCCAGGCCTGCGGAATGGTGGCCCCAGCCAGAGCAGGACACGCCCTCTGGACATGTCCGGAGGTTCCAGGAGAGACCACTGAGCGGCTGGTTTGGTAAAGACCCTCCCAGGGCTGGGCTCAGGAAGTTAGCTCCAGGGACAGCTGGTCTTCCTCCAGCCTCCCAGCCACCCAAGTGGAAAACTCCACCCCCACCCCCACCCCGTGTGTCCCCAACCCCCAGAACCCTCCCCCTGGGCCCTTGAAAGCCACACCTGGTGTCTCATCCCACACACCCCAAACCCACCCTAGCTGCCCAGAAGGGCACCTTTGCCCTAGGAAGGAGGAGCTTTCTCCAGAGGCCCACTGGGTCCCCTGGGTTAGGAGCCTGGGCCCTCAGTCCCCACCACACAGACACACACACACACACACACACACACACACACACACGTACTCCAGAGTGAGAGCTGGGGGAGGTGTCTGGGGCTGACGGGAAGGGCTGGGAAGACCTGGGGGCTGCCAACCCTGCATCAGAGTGACCACAACCCTGGAACTTAAAAATAGCGCTAACACACTAGCCCCAGTGTCTACACATGGCTGGCACTGTGCTGGCCAAATTGCAGTCTTGCTGAACGCTGTCTCGTTAGTTCTTACAACCATTCCATGAGGCAAATATTAAGTCTATCCCACTTTACAGAGGAGGAAACCGAGGCCCAGAGCAGTGAGTGCTCTCGCGCAGGCAGTACCTGGAGTGGCTGGGATTCGAACCCAGGACCATGACTCCATGCCTGAGACTTGGCACTGGAGTCAGCCACACCTGCCTCTAGCCAGGAGCCCCTTGAGGGGATGTCTGCTTCACTGTTTCCATCTCAACCCCCTGCGGCAGATGGTATTTTCTAGAGACGGGCGTCACCATATCTTCCATCCCACATGCTCTTCCTACTATGTGACAGTGCCACTCTTCTGTGACTCTAACAGAAGTGACATTATGTGACTTCCAAGGCTAGGTCCTATAAAAGATGACAAAGCTTCCCCTTGGTTCTCCTGGGATGCTCACTCTTGGATCCCAGCACCATGCTACAAGGAAGCCTGGGCCACATGGAATGGTCACAGGTAGGTGTTCCAGCCGACAACCAGCATCAGCTGCCAGGCACACGTGTGAGAAACCCTTCTAGACAGCTCCAGCCCCAGGCATGGTCTGACTGCAACTGCAGGAGGAACCCCGGCCAAGACCTGCCCTCACGCAGCCCAGCGGCCCCTCAGAGATGGAAGAGAGAAGGTTTGGGGTGATTTGTGATACAGCACAGGTAACAGGAACACCTCCCTCCCCTTCCCCTCACACACACCTGAGGCCCAGCCAGGTCCTGGTAAACAGGTGGCGCTCCTTCAGCGGGTCTTTAATTCCCACGTGTACAGACAACCTTGGCTATTCTGCTCTGTCCAAACAGCCTGGACTTTAAACTCCCAGACGGCAGACACTGACACATGGGCAACTGCCTGGCCAACCACGATCTGCTTTCTCTCCCCATGGATGTGTTTATTCTGCGCACTTCCTCTGCATGGAGTCATATAATATGCAGTCTTTTGTGGCTGGCTTCTTTCGCTGGGAACAGCAACGTTTTCCAAGTTCGTCCACGCTGCAGCACGTATCGGTACTTCCTACCTTTCTAGGGCTGCATAGTATCCCGTCGCATGGATAGACCACGTTTT